AATTACACCTGCTGACTAATTATTTTTTCATACAACGTGAAGTCTAAAACTAACTTACCATAAGGCTAATTCGAAATCTAAAAATAAGTGCAAGAGAACCGTTAGTCGTGCCTAGAAAAAACAATGAGTACTAACTAAAAAATATTAGGAATTGAAACGTTGTCATAAGTCAGGTGTGTTGAAAATAGTTTCTAGTGCAGATCCTTGAAAGCTGTCTGATTTTCAGAACTTACTGGAATAAATCAGATGTTTGTAGATGTCAGTGATTGTCCAATAAATCTAGCTCAAGAAAAAAAGTCATAGTGACTCTAGCTGACGGAAAAAAAGTCATAGTGACGCTAGCTGAAGGAAAAAAAAAGAAAGACGTTTTGACAAGGGAAGCCACCCAATATTAAAATACAAACATTAACCATTGGCGTGTTATCTCTAGGTTAATAAAATTAAGCAGATACGATATGAATTTTTCTAAAGATCATACGTTTAATTGTTTATACGGTTATAATGAATGTAGAAATTTCAGCAATATGTGCTATAAAGCTATGTACAAAAACTACTATTGACACTGTAAACAATTTATAAGGAGGCAGTCTTTAATTTTTAGCTTTATGAATGCATTCATTATTAGATTTCCTAAGCATTTGATGAATTTATTATACAAATAAAACTACATGTAGTTATAACCTGATTAGACGCATCACTTTTACTTGATTGATGTGTTTTCATAGATCCGTTTTGCATGATTTAAATACTGATTTCGCCAGTAAATGTAAACGTTTTATATTTGTCAATGATTATTTTTTGCCATAGATTTGTTCTCACTCATCCGTCACTAGGTGTTTCTTCAAGGCATCGGGGGGGGGGGGGGGGTCAGACGAAATGGAATTTAAATTGAAAACATATTTTTACCAGTCTTCGTCTCCCTCCCGGAAAATTTAGCCCGCCCCCAAAATTATCAAGTGCCCACCCCCTCCCCCTCGGGTGAAAAAAGTCTGAAAGAAACACTGTCCGTCACTTCACTTGCCCCATAGACCGTCAGGTTTAAAAGGGAAACTTTACATCTAGTTTCAAGCTCGAGTTCAGAAATTTCAGACTGGCTTCCCTTACTTTACCGGTAAAAAATAGCGAAACAAATTTAGGAGCGCATACTTTTCACAATTGAAAAATATGAAAGGTAAAGTTCATTTTTATTACCTAAACTAAATGTAACGGCGGTGTTTACCTCGCTAATTAATCTCATTACCACACTAAGTAACTAAGCTGTAATGGCCGTCCATTTTACTTTACATTTCGCTATAGATCCCGAGTGAGTTTTTTTTTTTTTTTTTTACAATGCGTTTGAATTGCACTTTGGCTTAGAATGTTAAAACTATTTTATTCGCTGCTGGTTTTAATCTGAATATGATGGGCAGTGCTGTATCATTAAACCGCTGTTAATTTCCGGCTTGTTACCTCTAGCTAGTTTTTCATCTTTCTCATACATAAACAAAAGAACGTGAAAATAATATTAAATACACTCGCATTGCTTATACATATTTCAGAGATCAATGTCAAATAATATGTTCGCTTATATGCCTAGAAGAATGATACATTTTAATAATAGTATGGTCAAAAAACACTAAGTTTGTAATTTTGCCAGGGGAGGTAATTTTAAAAAATTCAACTCACGTTAAATATTGCTATGGGGTATATATCGGGGGGGGGGGCAAATTGTAAGTTCGCCCCGGGCGCCGTGACGGGTCGCTACGCCTCTGTCTGTGCATACATGTACGTTGGAGACAAAAATAATATTTTAAAATAAAGCAGCCGTCGTAATTTAAATGCTATATCCATACACACTTTAATAAATTAATTACAATTACACATCCGTCAGCATACTCATAGCCATCCCATTATGTAAGCACGCATGTCAACACTGCTCATCTACACAATAAACAGGCTTATGCAACCATGCACACCTAACCCACCTCAACAGGATAGCCCGACATCACAACAAACAACACAAGCATCAGGGAACTTAAGCACGACAGACGGAGCAAGCCTCAAAGTTAGCTCAAGAAATACAAAGACAGCGAACACCATCACACTACAGCAAGACGCATCAAATCACAAGGACACACAACCACAGACTGCTATGGAAACAGTAACATCAACACACCACAGCAAGACGCATCAAATCACAAGGACACACAACCACAGACTGTTATGGAAACAGTAACATCAACACACCACAGGAATACGCCTTGAATCACAAGGACACACAACCACAGACTGCTATAGAAACAGTAACATCAACACACTACAGCAAGACGCATCAAATCACAAGGACACACAACCACAGACTGCTATGGAAACAGCAACATCAACACAACACAGCAAGACGGATCAAATCACAAGGACACACAACCACAGACTGCTAAGGAAACAGTAACATCAACACACCACAGCAAGACCACTCAAATCACAAGGACACACAACCACAGACTGCTATGGAAACAGCAACATCAACACAACACAGCAAGACGGATCAAATCACAAGGACACACAACCACAGACTGCTAAGGAAACAGTAACATCAACACACCACAGCAAGACCACTCAAATCACAAGGACACACAACCACAGACTGCTATGGAAACAGTAACATCAACACACCACAGCAAGACCACTCAAATCACAAGGACACACAAACACAGACTGCTATGGAAACAGTAACATCAACACACCACAGCAAGACGCATCAAATCACAAGGACACACAACCACAGACTGCTATGGAAACAGTAACATCAACACACCACAGCAAGACGCATCAAATCACAAAGACACACAACCACAGACTGCTATGGAAACAGTAACATCAACACACCACAGCAAGACGCATCAAATCACAAAGACACACAACCACAGACTGCTATGGAAACAGTAACATCAACACACCACAGCAAGACGCATCAAATCACAAAGACACACAACCACAGACTGCTATGGAAACAGCGAACACCAGCACACCACAGCAAGACGCCTCTAACCCTAAAAAAATTCGTGTCGCTTGTTTAGAATGTTGAACAGAAGGGCACATAACCCAACATGTCTCAATGTTTTATCCTACTCATTGCCCTACAACGTAGGTAGATTTGTTTCTCAATGCTCGTACCCATCTGTTATTTAAATAACTCACAAATAAACCACATAAACATACATTACAGGCGTAAAAACGTACGTACATTATTAATTTGGCTAAAAACAAAATGACTTAAACACGTGAAGGTTTTTGCCGATTTTTTACCACCCACCCCAACCCCAACGCACTGTGTGTTAACTAAGCGGTTACCATTTTAGAAGGGGATGTAACTAGGCTTGGCTTATTGTGTCGATTATTTTAATGGAGTTACTTCGCTTGACATAGAAAAAAAGCTTTGTAAACTGTTCACAACGATAAACATGTTAACAGGGGTTGTACTAAAATGATCCTAAAATAATGGGGTCGGGGGAGGGGGGGGGGGGGTCGGACTTGTATGGCGATATATTCCAATAGAGGGGGGGGGCAGGTTTAGAGAGTGTGACGTCACACTTCCATTTTAAAAATATTTTTACAGTTACTTAACATTTTTAGATTAGCTCTTTTGTAAATTATGTAAATATATCAATATATCAAACTTTCACCCAGCTCAATGATTTAAATCTTTTGGATACGCCGTTTAAGATAAAAAAAATTAAATGCAGGTGTAAGGCAAAAATGTGAGCGGGTGGTGACGGCATATTGTAATGAAGGAACTTCTCAATGAGTGAACCATCAAAACCTTATCGTGTGAGTTCAATATGGAAGTATTCCAAACTCACAAGAACAGCAGGACACGTCAGTGGATTCTCAACTGACAAGAGTTGTCTCAACCGACAAGAGTCGTCTCAACTGTCAGGAGTCGTCTCAACTGTCAGGAGTCGTCTCAACTGTCAGGAAATGTCTCAACTGTCAGGAGTTGTCTCAACTGTCAGGAGTTGTCTCAACTGTCAGGAGTTGTCTCAACTGTCAAGAGTTGTCTCAACTGTCAGGAGTTGTCTCAACTGTCAGGAGTTGTCTCAACTGTCAGGAGTCGTCTCAACTGTCAGGAGTCGTCTCAACTGTCAGGAGTCGTCTCAACTGTCAGGAAATGTCTCAACTGTCAGGAGTTGTCTCAACTGTCAGGAGTTGTCTCAACTGTCAGGAGTTGTCTCAACTGTCAGGAGTCGTCTCAACTGTCAGGAGTTGTCTCAACTGTCAGGAGTTGTCTCAACTGTCAGGAGTTGTCTCAACTGTCAGGAGTTGTCTCAACTGTCAGGAGTTGTCTCAACTGTCAGGAGTTGTCTCAACTGTCAGGAGTTGTCTCAACTGTCAGGAGTTGTCTCAACTGTCAGGAGTTGTCTCAACTGTCAGAAGTCGTCTCAACTGTCAGGAGTCGTCTCAACTGTCAGGAGTTGTCTCAACTGTCAGGAGTTGTCTCAACTGTCAGGAGTTGTCTCAACTGTCAGGAGTTGTCTCAACTGTCAGGAGTTGTCTCAACTGACAGGAGTTGTCTCAACTGACACGAGTTGTCTCAACTGTCAAGAGTTGTCTCAACTGAGCAGGACACAACACCAACTACTTCTCAAGAACCTGGAGACAGGGTGAGAACTTCAGCACTCGCTGACCCCTGTAAGGCTCACTCTTGCAGTGACCGCTGTTTGAGATACATTTACGCGAGAGCTTAATTTTTTTTAAAATGATGTACAGGGCACTATCTTTTCATATCAAATTTCGCTTTCAATTATCAGATTCAACTCCGCAACGGTTAAAGGTCATTGAATGTTTAAGCGCTTCACCACCCAACTTCAATTAATTAATTTTCGTCCTATTTATTTTATGTGTATCTGAGTGTTTAAGCTTTTTTCCTGTCGAAGATGGATTTAAGTAGAGGGTTTTGTTTTAGGAATGTGATTTGTTTGCCAATAGAATTAGATTAAAAATAAAATAGGAACTAAAATAAAAATGGTGGCCGTAGAACGTTTTTATTAATCAGACCACATGGGTGAACGTGCAATTAAAAACTGAACATCACTGTTGTCCTTGACTGGTAGTGTTACATACTGGTGGTGTCACAAGCTGGTGGTCTCACAACTCTATATTGTAAGCGTCGATCAGCTGACCTCGCCCACCTGTCCTTAAGCGTCGAGCACCTGTCCTCGGCCACCTGAGCGGATGGCGTTATACCTCTGCCAGCGTGAGTACCTGCTGCCCCTGTTGGTCTGCTGCTGGGGCTGGTCGCTGGCGTGTGGGCTGGCCACAAAGTGCTGGGCGGTAGCCCGGCGGAGTCTGGTCAACAGGATGTCATCGGTCAACTTCTCATCGCCTCTGAAGCTTGGGTCTGAAATTATGGGATAGAATTTGTCAGGTCAGCAGAATGACGTCACTTATTGAGCACGTGCCTGAAATTATGGGATAAGATTTGTGGGTTGTTTTTTTTTTAACTGCTGAGGGTTTAGCATTAGGGTTAGACTCCAGTCAAGTCATTCCGATCGGGTTACTAATTATAAACTGCCTGGTGATTAGGGTTTAAATTTAACTGGGCATTTAGTTAGGGTAAAGGAATTTAGGTAACTTGAAGACCCCGGAATTAATAACGTAATAGCTTAGATTACACAACTTACTAGCGTAAATTACACCATGTAATACCGTATATTATACCACACAATAGTGTAGATTACATCACACAACAGTGTAGATTACACCACATAACAGTGTAGATTACACCACACAATAGTGTAGATTACACCACACAATAGTGTAGATTACATCACACAACAGTGTAGATTACACCACACAACAGTGTAGATTACATCACACAACAGTGTAGATTACACCACACAACAGTGTAGATTACACCACACAACAGTGTAGATTACATCACACAACAGTGTACATTACACCACACAATAGTGTAGATTACATCACACAATAGTGTAGATTACACCACACAATAGTGTAGATTACAGCACATAATACCGTATATTATACCACACAATAGTGTAGATTACACCACACAACAGTGTAGATTACACAACACAACAGTGTAGATTACACCACACAACAGTGTAGATTACACCACACAACAGTGTAGATTACACCACATAACAGTGTAGATTACACCACACAATAGTGTAGATTACACCACACAATAGTGTAGATTACAGCACACAACAGTGTAGATTACACCAAACAATAGTGTAAATTTCACCACGTCATAGTGTAGATTACTCCGCGTCATAGTGTAGATTACACCACACAATAGTGTAGATTACACCACACAATAGTGTAGATTACACCACACAATAGTGTCGGTTACACCAAGTTATTTGAAACAATGCATATCATGAAGCAGTTATCTGATGTCACAGTACCTTCTCTAAACAATGCCAGACATACAAAATGTTTACAACTACAGAAGTTCCAGACTTACCCGAGTCTAGAGTCTCCGGTATGTCAATGTCAAAGTATTCTCCCTCTATCTTGACCATAGTTGACCTCACTGTATGAATGAGCAGGGTCATGGACAGACAGACGATAAGGCAACTTTTGGGAAACATTTTCTCTGTGGAACAAAACAGTGAAATCATATAACAATTTTTTTTTCAATACCTTAAACATTTCGATTATTTCAAGAACTCTACCAGAATTTTTTTTTAACCTGGCATTATTTTTGTTTTTAAATATTAGCAAATCTTCGTGTACAGAGGCGTTGGGTGTGGACAGCAAGGTGTGACACCCCACCTAGAGCTGCCACTTCACTTGGCTTTTTACAGAAAGTCAAATCTAGATCAACTCTCTAGCGTTTACTATTACAAATACGATTAGGACATTCGGATTTTTTATGACAAACTACATTGATATTTTTATTTCCAATCTCTTTAGGATATAAGTATCACTATCGTAAAGACTCCTATTTAACCTAACGATCCATTGGGCAGATGAAGTTCATATCTTTTTGAACTCGGCAGAGACAGCGTGGCCAACACTATGCCCAGCCAACTTTAATTTCCCTAACATGATTTAGGTACCCATTAGAGCTGGGGGGACTCAATGACGTTCTACTGACTTGAACCTGGATTTGAACTCTAGACTTCTGGATCGGCATTCTAGCGCTCTATCGCTAAGCCACGTCCGTAGTTATCACTATATTTGATTTAATATATTCAATACTGCAGGAGAACTATCTTTTTCGCTTTTTCAGCTTGAACTTAGTTCAATGAACTTAAACCTTTTCGTAAGCGATCAACGCTATTAATATTAATTAAAGGCAACAAATCGTCAGTCCAATTTGTGAATAAATAAATTGTGTAATGTTTCATTAAAGTAATCAGCTTAACTATAATGGATAAATCTGGATTCGATTGAACCTGTGACAGTTGGTACCATGTTTTGGTACCATGTTAGGTGAGGTACCATTATGATCAAGATGCTAAGTATTGTTGAAACATTGACCGGTAACACAGTTTTTTAAAATATTGAACCGGAGTAACAGATGATCATCTTAAAAGTGGACTAAAGGGTATAGAAACAACAATATAAAGCGACGATGTATCCCAAGTATACCCAAGTTTTTAAATTAACTACATTTCTGTTAGTTACGTTGTATTATTGAAATATCATTCTAATATATATATATATATATATATATATATATATATATATATATATATATATATATATATATATATATATATATATAATATTATATATGTGTAGTATATTTATAATGTAAAAGCATTAACTAGAACTTCAGTGGATTGAGTTATCCCCTCGATATAAACAATCTGTACGTTATACGGGAATCACGTGAACAAACTGCCTTAGGCTAGTTAAAAAAGGAACGTAGCTAAATATTAAGAAACTTGGTACAAACTTGAAAAAACTCACCGAATGAGGTTCTACTGTCTTCGTGGTCAGACAACAAAGGCTCTGTGCTATCGTCTCAACTCTGCTCCCTTTTTATAGGATAGCTGTATCATGTTTTTTTTTGTGTGAACCAACATAATCCCGACCCCCTAACAGAAATACCACACACACACACGTGAACACACACACACACACATGAACACAACTCACACACTTTCGCTTGGATCAAATGCAAATCGAGCTAAGGCCTTTAACCTGATCATGATCCCTGCCATTTCAAGCAGACAAAATAATTGTTTCATTAGAGCCTTGGCTTTAAGATATTTTAATATTTAACACAAAGTTTCATGTCGATATTACGATTGACATTTCTACGTTATTTCTCAATCAAATGCAGTTTTATTCCGGCGTTACCTCTCAATAGTATTCAGTGCAATACTGAAAAGCTTGATAAGTATCAACATTTAATCTCACGAAATGTGTAAATATTTAGTTTGTATTAAATATTACTTGTTACAGCTTTTAATTTACTGTTATAGTCTTGTTAAATTTGGGTTAAGGTTATGGTTTGGTTACATAAGTAGTTTATCATTTGGTTACATTAGGGGTCTAAGTTTATTGATCCGTTACAAAAGGGGTGGTAATTTTTCTACCTTCTTGCAAAAAGAACTATGCTTATCACATACGAAGGTACATAACTCCAATAATAGATTATTTAAGGGCTCCTAGATTTGTCGCACTTAATTGCAGCTTGTAAGGACTTTAGTTAAATCCCAAGTAACCTTTTGGAACAAAAAATAATGTGAGAGAGCTTGGGTAGAGGCTATAGTAGATTTAGGTTAAGGTAAAGTCTTAGGTATTGTGAGGCTAAAAATAAAACGTGTTAAGTCTAAAGGCGGTGAGTGCGTGAGTGCGTGTGTATGTGTTTGTGGGTGTGTGTGTCTGTTGGGTTTTATATGTCGAATTAGCACTTTAAAGAACTATGGCGTACTACTATAAATCACGGGCTTATTGTGTAATGCTAAACATCATGGGATAATTATGTGATGCTATACAATTTGGGATTATTGCGTGGTGCTATAAATCAAGGGATTATTGTGTAGTGCTATTTCTAGTGGGATTAATGTGTAGTGCTATTCCTCGTGGGATTAATGTGTAGTGCTATTCCTCGTGGGATTAATGTGTAGTGCTATTCCTCGTGGGATTAATGTGTAGTGCCATTCCTCGTGGTATTAATATGTAGTGCTATTCCTCGTGGGATTAATGTGTAGTGCTATTCCTCGTGGGATTAATGTGTAGTGCTATTCCTCGTGGGATTAATGTGTAGTGCTATTCCTCGTGGGATTAATGTGTAGTGCCATTCCTCGTGGTATTAATATGTAGTGCTATTCCTCGTGGGATTAATGTGTAGTGCTATTCCTCGTGGGATTAATGTGTAGTGCTATTCCTCGTGGGATTAATGTGTAGTGCTATTCCTCGTGGGATTAATGTGTAGTGCCATTCCTCGTGGTATTAATATGTAGTGCTATTCCTCGTGGGATTAATGTGTAGTGCTATTCCTCGTGGGATTAATGTGTAGTGCCATTCCTCGTGGTATTAATATGTAGTGCCATTCCTCGTGGTATTAATATGTAGTGCTATTCCTCGTGGGATTAATGTGTAGTGCTATTCCTCGTGGGATTAATGTGTAGTGCCATTCCTCGTGGTATTAATATGTAGTGCCATTCCTCGTGGTATTAATATGTAGTGCTATTCCTCGTGGGATTAATGTGTAGTGCTATTCCTCGTGGGCTTATTGTGTAGTGCTATTCCTCGTGGTATTAATGTAATGTTCAATATATCATGGGTTAAATGTGTACTGCTAAAAATCATGAGGTTATTGACCTTTGATGCTGATGTTTTTGTTGCAGTTGAAAATTTCAGGCCTTCAAGTCTCTGCTCGCTTCTACGTTATTAGTTTCTGTATCCACAATACCCATATTTTAAAAATGAATTTCATATTCAATCGTAAACGTTGCTGCTTTAATTAGTAACTAATATGACGTCATAAATGACATAGTTGCCACCCAAACGTCACTCAAATGTCACACAAATGTCAGAGACTAATCCTGTAATTCTCTGATTGTCATTTTTGGGCATGTTGATCAGCGACCTCAACAATTTTAAAGCTGATCCTAATCTCATTTATGTGAAGGGAGCTAACTGGTGGCACTAAAATAAACTAACGACAGAGATTAAAATAAGACACGCATTTTGTCCACATTCATTTCATTGTTGTAGTTTTTTTTTTTTTTTTTTTTTTTTTTTTTCCTCCTCGTGAATTGGCGCAATTTTTGTAACACGTGAGTTTGGCGCCTTGTGTTATGGAAGAAGTTTACTGAGTAGGTTAGTTAGAATTAGGTTTAATGGTAATAAACTAGGGTTAGGTTTTTGTGGTAAGGACTTAATCAATGGTCAGCTGTAATGGTGGGGTGGCGTGGTGGAGCTGTAGAAAGCCAGATTTCTTAACATTGAGCTTAGATCAGTCTACACTGGCTCTACTTTACACTTCATGTGTATACGTGGCCAACTATTTTCATAGAACTAGCCATTCTTCTACTGGCCACAACTATTCTAAAGGCATTGAACTGGTCATAGAACAAGCCAAACAATTAGTTCAGACATAGAACTTGCCAAACAGTTAGTTGAGACATAGAACTTGCCAAACAGTTAGTTGAGACATAGAACTTGCCAAACAGTTAGTTGAGACATAGAACTTGCCAAACAGTTAGTTGAGACATAGAACTTGCCAAACAGTTAGTTGAGACAGAGAACTAGACAACAGTTAGTTGAGACAGAGAACTAGACAAACAGTTCAGGCATAGAACATAGAACTTGCCAAACAGTTAGTTGAGACAGAGAACTAGACAACAGTTAGTTGAGACAGAGAACTAGACAAACAGTTAGTTGAGACAGAGAACTAGACAACAGTTAGTTGAGACAGAGAACTAGACAACAGTTAGTTGAGACAGAGAACTAGACAAACAGTTAGTTGAGACAGAGAACTAGACAACAGTTAGTTGAGACAGAGAACTAGACAACAGTTAGTTGAGACAGAGAACTAGACAAACAGTTCAGGCATAGAACATAGAACTTGCCAAACAGTTAGTTGAGACAGAGAACTAGACAAACAGTTAGTTGAGACAGAGAACTAGACAACAGTTAGTTGAGACAGAGAACTAGACAACAGTTAGTTGAGACAGAGAACTAGACAAACAGTTAGTTGAGACAGAGAACTAGACAACAGTTAGTTGAGACAGAGAACTAGACAAACAGTTAGTTGAGACAGAGAACTAGACAACAGTTAGTTGAGACAGAGAACTAGACAACAGTTCATGCACAAAACATACAACTGGCCAAACAGTTAGTTGAGACATAGAACTTGCCAAACAGTTAGTTGAGACAGAGAACTAGACAACAGTTCAGGCACAAAACATACAACTGGCCACCCTACACCTACAGAGCAGAGTTCACATAAAATCAATAATTCTAATGATCCTCTAGTTCTACCTAAAAATAGCCAGACGCGCTATTTTTAACTTTTTTGACAGTGTCCCGTGATCTGTTAGCACGTCAGGTCACATAAAAATAGGTCTGGTTGTTTTGTTTTGTTGTTGTCTATTGCCCATTGTTGTTTTTGCTGTTGTCTATTGCCCATTGTTGACTGTGTTGTTGTCTATTGCCCATTGTTGACTGTGTTGTTGTCTATTGCCCATTGTTGTTTTTGCTGTTGTCTATTGCCCATTGTTGACTGTGTTGTTGTCTATTGTCCATTGTTGACTGTGTTGTTGTCTATTGCCCATTGTTGATTGTGTTGTTTATGTTGCTTTGCGCGTTTCTTGACCTCAGCATATGAAGGGAAGGTGTGGTCAGCACATTGTACAGCCGCCTTTACTCTCCCTGGCATGGTAGGTACCTATCACAGTTACATGGACACAGGGACGTTCTACTGACTTGGCCCCGGATTCAAACTCGAATTTCCGAGTTAACAGCCTAGCGCTCTACCGCTTAAGCCACGACGTCTCATACTTACTATGTACGGTTATAATAAGCTTAGTTGGCTTTTGATAGCTACTTTGGATATGACATGCTAGGCCCCGATAAGGTAAATGAAAAAACAATGTTAAAAATAAATTGGATGTTGTGGGCAGAGAAAATTTTTAATGTTTTACCACTGGTATGGTTTATAAACGTTAAGATAAGGGTTACTCATTCTATTGAGGATGTATATAGGCCTAGATAATTATATTTATATATATATATATATATATATATATATATATATATATATATATATATATATATATATATATATATATATATATATATATATATACACATATATATATATATATATATATATATATATATATATATATATATATATACATATATATATATATATATATACATATATATATATATATACATATATATATATATATATATATATATATATATATATATATATATATATATATGTATATATATATATATATGTTACCTAGGCAAGTTGCATACCCTGCTCGCTGCGCCAAATGTAACGAGACTTATCCTGCTCGCAGAGCCAAATGTAACGAGTCCCCCGAGTCTATCCTGCCGACAACGCCAAATGTAACGAGTCTCTGGCTACCCTGGCGACAACGCCAAATGTGACCTTCCCGAGTCTAACCACTCATTCCACACAACATTGACCACAGCATAGATACTCGAAGATGCAGGTTCATTATTGATCCTTTTATTACATGAATCAAAGAATGCTTCACAATAATATAATGAATCAAGAGAGATGTTTCACAATAATAGTCTGAATCAACGGACCCCCAACAGTCCTCACTAGGCTTCATCTAACTGAATACACATGTCTAACGTCCTTCCTTAACACAATATAACCAACTTGATACTGCCACACAGACTCACTGATCGAAAGCGAGCGAGAGAGAGAGACTGACTGACTGCGAGTCTGACTGACTGCCTCAGAGACTGACTGACTGACCGCCCGACTGACTGAGAGAGACTGACTTTCTGAGAGACCGACTTTCTGAGAGACTGACTGAGAGAGACCTCGAGCTCAGCCGTCGCCTCCCTTATA